TTTGGGATGTTGGTGTTTCAATATTGTGATTTTTAGGATTTTGGACTTTAGGGATTTTGATCTTTTGGTATATCAACATTTGGGATTATGATATTTGGGATTATTTCTTTAAAAGGTTTATGATCAGCACCAAATATAACATATTCACAAGTTCTGGAGATTAGGAAGTGAACATCTTTGCAGGCACATTATTCTGCCTACTACACTGACCTTTTTTTTTTTTTTTCTATCCTGTTTATCAACATAACTCTAAAGATGTCTATATGGCTTTGCAAATTAGTGTCAAAACTGGCCAGCCCATAGGAACTCACTACTGTGTTTGCTTTAAAAGCAGAAAATCAGTCCAATAAAGCAATTAGTATTCTTTATTCCTTGCTCAAAATCAATCATGTACAGAAGTGATGTCATGGTAGAAATAAGATAAGGTTGCTCAAAGGTCTCACGTATTTTCCTAAACACCAAACCATGACATCTAAAGCCTTTTCTTACTGGGATTTCCTCCACCATGTAGCCACTATCTTCTTTCTTGAAAGTTTCCCCAGCCTTCATTTCTGAGCCACTACGCTCCCCTGACTCTCCTCAGAATTGCTCTTTTTTTTTTTTTTTTGACACTTTCAGTCATTTTTCTTCTACTAAACTCTTAACTGTTGGTGTTTTGCAGACTTCATCCTCACTTCTTTCCACTGAGATTTCCCTTTCTGACTCTACTTCTAAGGCTTCAAATGTCCCTATCAGCCAATTTCCAAGTATAATATAATTATAATACAAATACAGTCTCCTGCCCTGATCTCTTTCTCCTAAACTCCAGACCCCCAACTGCCTACCAGACACCTCCACCTGGATGACCCACAAACACCTTAAACTTCATGTATTTGTCTAAGACTGAACTCACTATCTTCGCTTCAAATGCTTGCTTCATCTATTAATCTCTTCAACAAATGTCTACCATGAGTGAAGCATTGATCTCTACCAGCAAATACAGATACTAGAGAGAGAACCACTGCCTTTAACGAGCCGAGGTAAAAAATTATAATGCAAAGATATAGAAGCGGTATTGACATGAAGGTTGAAATTAAGGGCCCCACCCACTCAGGTGTCGAGCAAGAAGCTTCAGAGTCATAGTTAATGTTTCCCTGTCTTTCATCTGTGTCTGCATTTAATCAACAAACAAGTTCTATCTGTTCTACCTCTTAAGTGATTCTTGGATTCTTTCCCTTCTCTTTAGTCCCATTGCCTACTTCAGACCTTCAATGCCTATTTCATAGACAATTTAATATCTTTTAGTAAGGTAATATCTCTCTTACCTTACTTATTCTTACCTTTCAAACCCCTGTTCACAAATGTTAGTCATCGATATTGATATCAGAGTGTTTTTCTAAAAAATAGAGTCATTGGAACTCTTCCATAATCTGGCTTCAATCCATCTTTCCATCTTTGTCTTTTGCCAGAACCCCCTACATGACTTCTTTGTGATGTATCTGCTTATACTTGTGCCTCCCTAGTGGGAGTAAACCGCTTGAAGGCAAAAATAAATAAATAAATAAAGTCTCATTCAGCTTTGTATCTTGAACTTGACACACAGAATGTGCCCCATTAGTGTTCATTTAAAATAGAATTTGGGGAGGTGTCGGTGATGGGCCATAATAATCATATACAGTGTATATTGACAAAATAAAAATTTAACAAAAAATAAAAAAAAATTAAATAAAAATTAAATAAATAAATAAATAAATAAATAAATAAAATAGAATTTGGCTAACAATGTACATCTGGTAGACAGCATCCTTGAAAGTATCCCAGAAGAGCTCCATATGATCAGTTACTCCATGAATGATCATTTCTGAATTAAGCTACACTGAGAGGGCAACTCTGAAGGGCGTACCAATTTGCCTACCCTTTGTTTTTAAGGACCCCTTATCTTGCATCCTGAAGTTAAGAGGGTGAGTTACCTAGGATTCCCATGATCACTCTCTAATTATCGCAGCTGAAAGCATTCTTTTATTAGTGGAATAAGGACCCCTTATCTTGCATCCTGAAGTTAAGAGGGTGAGTTATCTAGGATTCCCATGATCACTCTCTAATTATCGCAGCTGAAAGCATTCTTTTATTAGTGGAATTAAGGTCAGCAGAATTTGTCTACCAACCTGCCCACTATATGTTCAGTGAAGTAGCTGGAAATATGGTCATTAACCCCAGGTGCTTAACAGCTATTTGAGCACACAAAGTCAAGTTCCAGTCCTCTCCACACAGGTGTGCCTCACTTTGAGGAAGCAGGGTGTGGTGGATCACCCATTTGACTTTCCTACAACCCTCAGTTCCAAACATGAGACATTAACATTGCTAAAACCAACTTATCACATGTATTTTTCCTTGCTCAGCTGATGAATGACATTTCATCACCAAGACTTCATTCTCTGCAGGATTACCATGTTTATCTAGTAATGTCATTTGCTCATTTGTGCATACCAGGCACTTACTTCAGGGATTAGCACATTTTTTCTCTAAAGGGCCAGATTAATATTTTTGATTGTGTGGCATATACAGTCTCTGTCACAACTACTCAGCTCTGCCATTGTAGTGTGAAAGCAGCTACAGACAATATGTAAACAAATGTGCATGGCTATGTCCCAATACAACTTTATTTATAAAGACAGGCAGTGGGCCAAATTTGGCTCATAAATGGTAGTTTGTCAACACCAGACATGAGTGGAAATCAAAAATAAAATTGCAGATCCCAGCAACACAAAGAGTAAATTTCACAAAGTTCTATTAAAACAAAGCTAGCAGCCATAAGAAATGCTTAAAATGGCATATGGGCAAGCCTCTGTCAGAGCCTTAATAACATTTAGACTAATGTGCAAGATTAAGCCTTTAGACTAAGGAGCAAAATTAAAGACCAGGTATGAAGTGGTAGAAATATTTTCTAAGCACTCTTTTAAGAGACAAGGCATGGTTAGGATACACACACACATACCTTATAGCTCTTTATTAAATAGAACTGATTTTGTAACATGCAAATTTGACTCTCACTAATTAGATTTGCACAGCTTTTCAGAGGTACTTTATGAATAATCTACTTAACCAATTGCCACAAGTGACTATGCTCAGTCACTGGTGGGGTCAAAACCCTCAGCAAAGTTGTGGCACATTTCTACAGTGCAAACAGTTGGTAACACTGAGTAAAAGCCAACATATTACCCTGCCTAGAAACACAGGTAGACCAATGAAGCACTATTAGGATAATAAAATGAAACAATAATCAGAACCAAGATGGCTAGAGTCCCGGACCCTACTAATTCTCTTAAAGTTTCCAGTTACCTTGACCCTGGACGATGGTGCAGAAATAAACAATTGCCCAAAAAGCTGGAAGCAGCCAGTACTGCATCTTGCACTGAAAAATCTTCATTTTGTTTTCCGTTTTTCACATGGGCTGTAGCAACTACCTGGAAACAGAAAGCACAGGGACATTTTTGAGAAGGCTGAAAATAAAGTATATGTAGTTATCTAGGACAGGCAAATGAGCCAACTTGGACTAGTATTGTCAGGAAGTAATTAATTCCCTAGAGTATCATGTATTTCTCTCTGAAATACAAACATTAAAAAAAAAAAGATTTTTTAGAAGATGCTGTAAATGAAAAGAATATATTGAAATATTTGAAACAGAAATTCAGAACATACTTTGTGACTCTTCGGTAAAGATGTAAATTGCATAGTGAATTCCCCAGATGGATAAATTCCATAAGTTTACCTGAAATGAGGATTATAACCAATCACAATGTCGTTGCCAGTAATCTGCTCCTCCCATATTTATCACATAAACTTCTACTGTTGCCTTATATTGCCTACAAAGTAGAAATATACAGGGCCTTTCTACTTGTTATCAAAGAGAATTTGAAAAACCACTTTGTGCTAATATTAAATCACTGCTCAGATTTCTCTTCACTGGGTTGAATAATCCCTAATCCTTTAATCTCTTGCCATAGCTCTTCTTTTTCCAAATATGTGTGAACCTAAAAGTCTTCCAAAAATTTTTTTCATTACACTATCAATGAAAGAAGAGCTACAAGAAAAAGAAAGAAAAATGGAAAAAGAGACAAGGAAAGAAGGGGAAAAAAAGAAAGGAAGGAAATAGGGAAGAAGAGGAGACAGGAAGGCAAAGGAGGAAGGGAGGTGGAAGAGGGAAAAAAGTGAGCATTTAATATTCCCTTAAAAGGCCAGTCTACAAACTGTAGACTACAATTCTATTACAGGTCATTATAAAGGGGAAATTCTGACTCCTCTCCTCAGAGATTAAGAAGACATCTCAAAAGTTTTCTCCTACCCAGGGTGTATTTCTCATTTATTTTTTTCATTTATACATTCATTCATTCATTCAGTCAGTCAGTCAGTCAGTCATTTATTCATCCATGCATCCATTTATTCTCCAGTATTGTTCCACAAAGGATCTAAAGCAACTTAATAATAAATAAATACATTATGTGAGAATAAGGTAGAGTTGGCAGATTTAACACACAAAATACAGGACTCCAGATAAATTTTAATTTCACATAAACAGCAAATAATTTTTAGTATAAATATGTTCATTGCAATATTTAATACTAAATACTTAATATTTAATACTAAAAAAAAAGAAAAACTTCACTGTTCATCTGAAATTAAAATATACCTGAGTGTCCTGTATTTTATTTCATAACCCTAGTATAAGGGGAAATTTGGTAGAAAAATAATAAAGTAATGAGTAAAATGAACACAGAGAAAATGTATCTAGTTCTGTACAGTTAATAGAAGTGATCATAAATTTGGCCCCAAACTTATGAATTAGCAGCCAAAGAAAGAAAAAAGCATGTTAAGTTTCATGGCTTACTATATTACTAGATTAAATTTTAAAACATGTTTTTTAGACATGCATAGCTTTGCCTAATACTGAAACCTGAGTAGAATTTTTTCCATGGTTCATCCAAAAAAAAGGTCACTGTAATTGATTCACCATAAAATTTAGTGAGCCCTTGCTGTGTGTAACAACCATTCTAAGTGCTTTACACATACAAACTCCTTTAATCCTCACAGCGATCATTGGAAGTAGGTATAATTCTCATACTGATTTACAATGAGGCACAGAGAAATTTCCTAAGTCACTGTTAGTGAGTTCAGAAGCCAGGGTTTAACCCACACAAGCATGATTAGACATGGTAGGAGCATCTTAGGAAAACATTTCCACATCATGCTTTATATCACTTCCACTTTAAAATATTTTTTCTTGCTCTAATTACAAAAATAATGAGTTTCAATAGTGAAAAATTAGAAAATAAAGGAAAGCACAACAAATTTGCTATCATCTGTTTTTTCCTTACTGAACTGTCTTTCAGATGACGGTAAATATACTGAAGTATATTTTCTGATAATGGCAAACATCCTTTTACTATATACATGGCAGTATCACAATTTATTTATCTATCTTTATTTGGAAATTTTAGGTTGTTTTCATATTTCCCTAATATATATAACACTGCAATGAGCATTCTTATTCAAATCTCCTTGAATATATGGTTATTGATTTACTTTAGCTAAATTCCCAGTTGTGGAACTCCTACGTAAAACAAGATGCATATTTTTAAGGTTTTTGAAATATACTCTAGAGAAAATCACACTGATTTCCACTTCCACCAGCATCTTTTACAAGTACCATGTCACATCACCTTCACCATCACAAAAGTTAATTGTTTCCAACATATGCTTATTTGATAAGTAAAATATGATTATCACAGTATCATCTTAATTTGATCTTTTTCATTGCCGGTAAAATGTAACATTTGGTGTTTATTGGTGTTTATTTAAATTTTTTATGAAATACCTGTTCATAACCTTTACCCATTTTCTTAATGACTTACAAGAACTCTTTATATATTATTACTTTGAACCATATATATTGCAATATTTTCCAGTTTGTTTTTTCCCTTTTAATTTTGTTTATTGAGCTGATTATCTTTTTAAAAGTTAAGGAATCTGATTTGATTTTTTTCTTTATGATTTTTAATTCAGCATCATGGGTAAAATGGCCTTGCTGACCCCAAAGTATATTTCTAGTTATCTTAACTTTTTAGCTCCAGTTGTGAATGGACTCTTTCCAACATTATGTTCTCTAATGGATTATTTTTAATATAGAAAAGGTATTAATTTTTATATATTTATTTTATAATGGGCCACCATTCTGAACTCTTACTAGCTTTACATTTCTTCCATTTAATCTCTTGAATTTTCCAGGTTGGCAATTGCACCATTTGCAACCAATGTGTTTTTTCTTATTATATTTCTTATTAGCATAGGCTAATAGTTTTAAAATAATTATTTTACTAGAGATGACTCAAATATTTTACCATTAAGTATATTGCTGATAGTTGAGTTCAAGTATATTTTCTTTTTATGTTAACAAAAACTTCTTAATGTAAGTAGAGAGTAAAATAATACTTACTAGAGGCCAGGGAGGTGGTGGGGGAGGAAAACTAGTGGACTAAAGGGTACAAAACTATGCTATCTACCCCAAGTGAATCATTGTGCAGTACATGCATGTACTGAAACGACATACTGTTCCCCAGAAATATGTACAAGTAAATGTTAAAATATTTTTAATTAAAAAATAAAAAACAATGACAAAAACTTCTTGATTTTTTACTGAGTACTTTTTTCTATCAAGAATGAATGTTGAACTCTGCCTTTATGACTATTCATCCATTGAGATGTTCATATTTTTCATCTTGACCTCTCCATTTAATTAATTATTTTGATGTGTCTAATATTAATATATCCTTGCAATACAGAAATATATTCTACCTGTTCATGGCAATTTTTTTTAACTTTAATGTAATTATAATGGTCTTGGCTTTCAGGTCAACCCATTTTCAAATAAAGATGGTAATGTCATATCACTTCATTAAAGAAGACCCCAGTAACTTAACCTTAATAATGACACTACTTTGAGCTATTGGTTGCTTAGGTTCTTGAACAACAATAGAAATAACTCGAGATTCCTTCTCTCCAACTCCTAAGAACCTAATCAAATGCAAGCTCTCTTTGTTATATGCGAATGGTTTATCAAAATGTTTTAAGCTTTAAAATGCCTATAATTTTTTCTATTATATGTCTGCAGTGGCAAAATAAAAACAAATCAATTGAAGTTATCTAATTGCAAATTAAAAATGAATATCACTGATGGCAAGAATCCTGAGTTGGACATTAATTCTTCTTGAGGAATAAGAGAGTACTATTCTAGGTGTAATTTATCCCCAAATGGAAGAGTGTGTATTTTTTAAAAGTATTATTACAATGGTATTTTAAGCCACATTAAATTTATCTACTATTTCCAGTCTACTACCACTTCAAGATCTTTTTTTTTTTTTTGGTGGCTGTCCAGTACAGGGATACGAACCCATAATCTTGGTGTTACCAGCACTTCAAGAACTTTGATAGTGGAATGTCCAGATAAAATCCCCACTGTAGTAGAAATCATACTACTAGCGAATAAGCTATCTCTTAGTTTAAAAAGCATGGGAAGAGACTCTGACCCTTAAATATTTTAAAAAATACTCTGCATTGCTTATTTAATCCCAGGTATTTTATAAATTGCTATCATGCTACTTCCTCCAGTCTTGGATGTTGCTCTTTTTTTTTTTTTTTTATTGTAGTCGTTGGTTTGTTTATTATGTCTATATTTGCATATATATATAAAGTATTGGCTGTCCCATGACAAAAGTTTTACTTATTTTTTTTTTCAATATACAATGTGGTTGATTATTATGACTCGTCACCGAAACCTCCTTCCCTCCTCCCTCGCCCCCCTCCCACCCAAGAATGTCCTTTCCGTTTGCTTGTTGTAACACCTTCAAAGAAATTGTAGTTGGTATATCTTCTTCCCCCCCACCCGGATTTTTTTTGTGTGTGTGTGTGTGTGTGTGTATGTGTGTGTGTGTGTGTGTGTGTGAATTTATTTGTGTATTTTTAGCTCCCACCAATAAGTGAGAACATGTGGTATTTCTTTTTCTCTGCCTGACTCATTTCACTTAATATTATT